CTTCCCTGGTCCTGTTGGCCACACTGTTCCTGATCCAGGCCAGGATGCCATTGGCCTTCTTGGCCACCTGGGCACACTGCTGGCTCATGTTCAGCCTCCTGTCAATCAGCACTCCCAGGTCCCTTCCTGCCTGGCTGCTCTCCAGCCACTCTGTCCCAGCCTGGAGCTGCAGGGGGTTGTTGTGGCCAAAGTGCACTTGGCCTTGGCCTTGTTGAACCTCATCCCGTTGGAATCAGCCCAACTCTCCAGCCTATCCAGGTCCCTCTGCAGAGCCCTCCTGCCTTCCAGCAGGTCAACACTCCCTCCCAACTTGGTGTCGTCTGCAAATTTGCTGATGATGGACTCATAACCCACCCCTTTGGGTGGTGGGGGAGTGTGCAGGGCTGGGAGTGCTCTCCATCCCCTCCCTTGAGCCCTGGCATCCCCCCACACCCCAAAATTGCCATCAACCCCCTCCTCCCAAAGCTGACACACCCACCTCCCTTTCAGCTGAAAGACCCTGGTGAAAACACTGGGTTTTCCACGGGGAAAAAACACCTTTGGATGAAAAAATGTGTCCAAACCCATTGCAGGGAGCACAAAGCCAATGCAGAGATGCCAGCAGCCTCCTGCTTCCCTCTGCCCTGAGCCGAAATCCTCCCGGCTGGCTGAGGCTGGAGTGAAGGCACTTAACAACCAGCAGGGTTTGGCCCAGAGCTGTTCCCCGTGGGATGCTCACAGGGTTCTTTCCACCAGGCAGGGATGTACCTGGGAGCTGGCTGTGATGGGATGGGGCTGGAGATGCAGCCAGCTCTGCTCTCCCTCTTCCCAGAAGTGGCTGGATTGTCACACAAGGTCACCTCTCCCTTCTTCCACCAGCTGTGGCCCTGCTGAGACATCTCACGTGGCACAGGCTGGATTTTTCTCCACCTCAGGACAGCTTTTGCTGTCTGGCTCCAGCAGCTCATCTCCGCTGGGGCCCTTGGCAGCTGCCAGGCTTTAACTGACGTCTGTCCATCATTCCCAGCAGCTGGAATCACGGACAGCGGAGGGGCCCCGAGGGAAGGACAGGCAGGGATGAACCTGAGCTGCATCCCCTCCGTGGGCATTCTGCTGCCACTAGAAAGGGATCAGAATGCCCTCGTGCCTCCTCCCACAGCTCCCATCCCTACAGCATTCCTGCTCAGCCCTGGGCTCGGTTCCGCTGGGGTGCCGGGTGGCACATGAGTCACATTTCCTCCCAACGCCCATTCCAGCTTGGTGCTGCCACTATTTTTGGAAATTCTTGGAAGCAGATCAGCCCTGAGAAGCACATTTAATGGATCCTCACCACGCCAGGCTCACGTCCCCCCATGTCCCTGTGCCAGGCTAGGGAAGCCCCCGTCAGCCCGGATCCTGCGCTCCCCTCCCAGTTTGGGATGCGTGGGAACTCACTTCTCATCCCACAGCCCCTCCTGAGTCAGGGGGGAGCTGAAGCACCATCTTAGTGGCAAAACATTACCTTTTAAAGGACCTGCTTGGGATTGGGGTGGGACTTTCTGCAATGCCAGCTTGGCATGGATCATTGTGCTCCCATTGAGTGGATCATTCCCAGCTATTTTTACTCTCAACCCCTGGTGTTTTAGCTGGGGCTGCAGTGCCTCACTTGGTGTCTCTGAGCAAAACCGGGCACAATCCGGTTCTGGAATCAAAGGGTGGATGAAATGAGAGGAAGGTTCAGCAGCTGAGTGTCACAGCCAGGCCCTTCCAGCTCGGGAGGGATCTGGTTTTACACGTGCACCCACACCCATGCCACCCCACACCTGCCACCCTGCGCCTCTTCCCTCCAGTCCTCCAGGATCTGTACAAATCGAGGAGTTATTTTCCTTTCAGAGCAGTGATTGTGCTGCTCATCCTTTGCTCGGGGCACTGCCCAAGGTCAGTGGTCGTGGCCCCCGGGATGTCTGGCTGCCTTCCTGGCCAAACCTGGGAGCAAACTCAGAAGTAATGCAGGGATGTGGTGGCTTTGTTGGGCAGGTGGTGGCTTTGATGAGCTTGGTAAACTTTAGACACGTTTTTTGGGTCTGAAGGTTTTACCTGGAGACAAGCAGCTCTGGCCCTCCTGGCGCTGCCGGGCTCAGCATCCCGACCTTGCCGGGATAAAATTATCCATTTCAGTTTGAATTAAAGGCAGCTCCGCTGGAGCCGCGTGAGGTTCAGCTCGAGGACGTCAAATGGCAGCGTTCCCTTTTTTTATCTGCATCGGGGAGGGGAGGGTCCTGCCAGCCAGCGCCTGGTGACAATGACATTGATTTCCTAGACCTCTTGTCGTGGCCAAATCTGTATTTTTAGCTGGGGAAGAGAAAAATATAAATCACGTGTCGAAGCAATGCTTTCCCTGCCCTGCTGGGAGCGAAGGAGACAAGAGCCGTCGCTGCTGGAGTTGTGGATGAACGGGGCTCGGCGCCCTGTCCCTGGAGCGGGGCTGGGAATGCACCAAGGAGCTGCATCTTCCCGGGGTCCATCCCAGGCACTGCTCCCAGCTGTGCAACACACAGCCCCTGCCCTGGGCTGGGGACCCCGAGCCCCCCGCGATGGGGGTCCTGGGGCAGGGAGCAGTGGGACCCCCACTCCCAAGGGATCCCATCCATCCCCTCGGCATCCCCTGTGACTATTTATCTTCCGGGGCAGGCGCTGCCTTCATCTCCTCTTCCCTGCCACCACCTCCTCCTCCTCCTCCTCCTCGCTCTCCCTCATCCTGTTCTCATTTCCCCAAGAAGACTTTAATGAAATCTGCCCTTAATTAAATCCACATTCATTTGCATAATTACCAGGAAATTGAAATTAGCCTGTGGACGTGGCTGGAATACATTTGGCATCAGGCAGCCCTGGCTGTTCAGAGGGGGCTGCACCAAGGGCAGCTCGGTGCCCCCCACCCAAGGGTGCTGCCAACCTGCCCCACGGTGCTGCTCCCCGTGCTCCTTCCCTCCCACCCAGGGGTGGCCACGACGGCCGGGCATGGAGGGGACATGGTGACAGTGGGGGGACAGCGAGCCCCAGGTAGAGGTCGTGCTCCCCACCCACACGAGCAGCATCACTTTTGCTTTATTTAATAAAAAAAGTCTTCACCACCATTGAGAATTTTTTTTGTTGCTTTTATAACTATGTATTTTGTCGGTTTTTTATGGTTTCAGTTGTGGTTTTTGTTTTTTTGTTTTTTGTCTTTTTTTTTTTTTTAATCCTTTTCAACAGTGACAAACTGAGGTAACGTCTGTGACACTACAGCCTCTCCTACGGGAAGAAGGTCTGAAACCCGACAGCTGAGGGAACTGGAAATAAAAACCCGACAACCTACCGACACAGCGACCTCGACGGGGACAGAAATCACACGGGGCACCCCCCTGGGACAGACCCCCGGGAGGTGCCACCGAGCTCTCCCAGAGAGGCACCGCCGAGCCCTCCCGGGGCGGCCGGGATCCCTTACCTACATTATTGCACGAAAGATTGAGGACATCGAGGGACCTAAGGCAAAAAGGAGAAAAACCGGTGCCTAGAGCGTCTCTACTTAGGGGCAATGCTACTTCTAAGGCCGCCCGGGGCCCGGCACCGCGGGCGGGGGGCAGAGGGGCCCGGGGGCAGCAGCGGGGACGGGGGGTCCGCCCGCCTGCTCTGTAAACTGCTGCTGCTGCTGCTGCTGCTGGATAGCGGGATAGCCCTTGGTGCGGGAATTGCGGCGCCGGGGGGCACGGGGGGTCCCCCCAGCACCCACCCGATGGGAGGGAAGCCCAAACCATACCAGAGTGCTGCCGCCTTGGGGTGCCCCCCACCCTCTCTGGGTGAGCCCCCCACTCCGCTGGGTGCCCAAAACCACGAGGGGAGTTGTGTGTCCCACACACACCCCTGTGACCTTGTCACTAAGGGACCACCAGCGGCTCCTGCCACCACCCCCTGCCTTTGCTGCAGCCAGCCCCGGGGGGTCTATCCCACCGCCTCCTCCCCGCCAGCCCCAGGGGAGAGTGACAGAGTTTGGGGAAGGGGTGACAGCGAGGAGGGGTGATGGGATGAGCACAGGGAACCAGGCTGGCTCTCTGGAGGCCGCTCGGAGCCCACTCCCCTGCCCCCGGGGTGTGCAGGCCAGCCTGGGGCTGCACTGCTGCCACCTCTCCCAGGGACAGAGAGTCTGCAGAGATGCCACTATGACAGAGCCAGCTTGGCCCTGAGCATCCAACCTGCTGGATGGCACTGTGGCCACGGGCCACGGCCCGGAGCACAGCTCCCGGCTGGGGGGACCTGTCCCTCCAGTGGGGTCTGGGGCCATGTGGGGCAGGGCAGGGGGGACAGGGGCTGCCAGTGGCAGTAGTGGGGCACACAATGACACACAGACAGGGACACTTGCTACATTGATGGCTGCCAGCACCTCCCACCATAGGGAGGCAGCCGGGGTTACCAGGGGTCCTGGGCTGCCTGAAAACCCCCAGCTCCCCATCACCAGCCCGGTGCCCATCTCCTCATCCCTTCCTGGTCCCCACCAGTGGGCAGGGATCGATGGAAGGGGACAAATCATCACCCACTCAAACCTCCCCAAAGGCCTCCTCCATGGTGTGGGGTCATTGGCCTTCCCGCTCCCAGTCCAGGGATCAAGCACAGGGTGGGGGAGAGCCAGTGGGCACTGCCTGCCCCGGACCTCCCATCCACTACCCTCCCGACTCTTCCTCCCTGTACTGGGAGACCTCTCCCCATGCCACCCTGTGGGAAGCCTTGGAGGGGCAGCATGGCCATGGCAGGGCCGTGGGCACCCCTGTCCTCCCTGGCAGGGCGCGGTGCCCTTGGCTGGGCTCCCACCGCCGGCCTCACCCAGGCAGGGTGGGGGCATTGGCATCCTTGGCGCTGCAGAGCGCAACCAGTTCTGTCCTTTTCCTCTTCGTTTGTGTTTCTTTTCCTTTTTTTCGCTTTGGGAGACCCAGAGCCTGGTCCCGGCTCGTGCCTCCACCACGAGCAGCTCCTCCCATCCCAGTTGCCGGGGCGGGGGGACAGGACGGGTCGTGCGGCCGCTGCCGCGGCGCCATCAGACGCAGATCTCTATTGCTGTGGCCAGGACCATCTGTCCTTTGCCTTTGTCCTGCCGTCCATCTGTCCTGCTGGCCGTCCCCGGGGCGGCCGCGCTGGACTCGGGACCGCGCGCTCCGCTCCCTTCTGTCAGGACGGTCCTCTTGAGCGGGGCGGGGGTGCAGGAGCCGGTGGCCTCGTGGCAGTGGGAGCCGGCCGGGAGCTTGTCCCTGGTGTGTTTGCGGGAGCGGTAGGAGGGCCGGCACCGCACCTCGGCCATCAGGTCGCACTTGATGAAGTAGAAAACCTCCTTGACGGGGCAGCGCTTCTCGGGGTCGAGGGCCAGCAGGCGCTGGAACATGCGCAGGGCACTGTCCGTGAAGCGCCGCCACTGCGAGGGCAGCCCCCCCAGCCGCCCCTTCTGCCACCGCACGAACTCCTCGAAGAAGGCATCGGACGCCACCGCCGCCTCCCAGGGGAAGTTGCCGGTGAGGACGCAGAAGATGAGCACCCCAAAAGCCCAGACATCGATGCTGGTGTCCACAGCAAAGCCCTCGGCCCGGCCGGCCTGGCACACCTCGGGCGCCGTGTAGGGGATGGTGCCACTGATGCGCTTGACCCGGCAGCCCACCTTGCGGGTCATGCCAAAGTCGGCCAGTTTGACGCGGCGGCAGTCGCGGTCGAAGAGCAGGACGTTCTCCGGTTTGATGTCCCGGTGCACCAGGCTCTTGCTGTGCATGTAGTCGAGGGCCAGGCCCAGCTGCTGCACACAGCGCTTCACCAGCTCCTCGGGGAGCCCCACCTGTGCAGACACGGCGTCAGCCACCCACCACCGAGCCCTGGGGTGGTCCCACCCAGCTCGGGGACCCCACACATATCTGTTACACATCCAACATGGTCATGGATGGCTTTATCTGGGTGCTTTCTGAGGCAGGGAGATGGGTGGTGGGTCCTGGGCCAGCTGAGGGATGGGTGGTGACTCCCCATAGAACCCCAGGGTGGTCTGGGTTGTAAGGGACCTTAAGGACCATCTCATTTCATTCCTTGCCATGAGCATAGACACCTTCCACTAGACCAGGTTGCTCCAAGCTCCATCCAACCTGCCTTGGCAGCCACAACTTCCCCAAGGGAAGGGTGATGGGAAGGCCACTCTAGGGATAGGTAATGGGCCTTAGGCCATCCTAGCAATGCGTGATGGATCTCAGACCACCCAGGGGATGGTCATAAGTCCCAGGCCACCCTACAGATGCATTACAAGGCCCAGATCACCCTAGGGAAGAGTGATTGGGTTCCAGGTCACTCTAGGGATGGATGATGGATCTCAGCCACCCAGGGGACGGGTGATCAGTCCCAGACTTGCTTGTAGGTGCTTATGTTCATGAGAGATCCACAAAGGGCTGCCCAGTCCTTGCACCTGCAGCCCCCTCCCACAGGGGCACCAAGGCACCACAGCAGCTTTGCTCAGAGCCCTGGGGATACTGAGCCCCCACATCCCAAAAGGGCTCCCACGGGAGGGGCGAGGGCTCTCACCTGTGGTGGGATGATGTCGAAGAGGTCCCCACCAGGGGCATACTCCTGAGCGAAGACGTAGCAGTCCTCAGTCTCGAAGACCACGTCAAAGACCTTGATGATGAAGGGGCTGGAGGAGAGTGTGTTGGTGATGCTGAACTCCCGCAGGAAGTTCTTCAGCTTCGTCTTACTCTTGTTGACGAACTTCAGGGCCATCTTGGTGCCTGTGGAGGGCAGGGGACGGAGGTGAGCCCGGGGCACGGTTGGGATGTGCCAGGCACTCTGCTCCCAGCACAGCCCCCTGCTCCACTCACCTGTGCTTTTGTGGGACACCAGGTCCACCTTGCCGTAGGTGCCCTTGCCGAGCTCGCGGATGAGGTCGTAGTGCTTGCTGATGTCGGTGCCTGAGAGGGTGCGGATGGCCAGGGACTGCATGTCCTCGGTGATGAGGGGCACCCCGCAGCAGGCCAGCTTGCGCGACGGCTCCTGCTCAATCGAACCCGCGCTCATGGTTGCGCTGCAAGGCAGAGGTGTGGCAGCATTTCAGTGGGTGCTGCAAAGCCACCCTGTCCCGTCCCATCCCATCCCATCCCGTCCCATCCCATCCCATCCCATCCCATCTCATCCCATCCCATCCCACCCCCAGGGCTGGAGCAGCCCCCGCTGAGTGCCACCCCTCTGTGCCCTGTGGCCACCAACCAAATTGCTCTGGAGAGGATGCTCCAGTCTCTGTGGGGCTGCAGCTGTGTGGGTCAGTGGTCCCTGTGCCACCAACTCAGGGGGATGTCTGGGGGCAAAGGGAGGGCTCAGGGCATGGCAGAGACAGGAGGGCAGGGACATGGACACACACATGGACACACACACACACACATTTCCTCAGCCCTGGTGTGTTCACAGCCACCATACATTGAGGCCTTTAGGGGCTCCCCACTGCTGCCACAGTCCTCAGTGGGGACCCCAGCAGCCAGCCCTGTCCCCTCCACCACTGCAGCCCCCTCCAGAGCCAAGCCTCACACAAGCCAGTGACACTCCAGAGCAGAACCAGGGCCATGCTGCAGGCACCAGGTGGGATATGATGGCTCTTCCAGAAATCCCTCCACCATATCCCTCTGACTATCCATCAGCACTGACTCTTGGCCTCCCCCTGCCAAGGTGATGGATGCCCTGGTTCAGAGAATCACAGAATCCCAGACTGGTTTCAGCTGCAAGGAGCTTCAAAGCTCAACTCATTCCACCCCCTGCCATGGGCAGGGACACCTTCCTCTACACAAGGTTGATCCAAGCCCTCTCCAGCCTGGCCTTCAACACTTCCAGGGATGGGGCAGCCACAGCTTCTCTGGGCAACCTGTGCCAGGGCCTCACCACCCTCACAGACAAGAATTCCTTCCCAATATCCCACCTAACCTTGCCCTCTGGCAGTGGGAAGCCATTCCCCCTTGTCCTGTCCCTCCAGGCCCTTGTCCAAAGTCCCTCTCCAGCTCTCTTGGAGCCCCTTTAGGCACTGGAAGGGGCTCTACGGTCTCCCTGGAGCCTTCTCCAGGCTTTAAAATCCAAATTCTCTCAGCTTTTCCTCATAGCAGAGTTGCTCCATCCCAGTAATCATCTTTATGGCCTCCTCTGGACTTGCTCTAACAGATCCACATCTTTCCTGTGCTGTGGACCCCAGAGCTGGGCACGGTACTCCAGGTAGGATCTCACCAAAGTGGAGCAAGGGGTGGCCCAGCCAGCAGCACATGGACAACAGCACCAACATTCTTCACTCCCATCAAACCAGTGACTCTTTTCCCGCACTCTGACCATCCCTACAACAAGAGCTGAGCTTGGAGTCACTCACCACACTGTCTTCAGGGTGCTGCTCATCCTCCATCACCCCCTGAAGCACCCACAACCCCCCAGGGTCAAGATCACACCCAACCCTTTCCCAACAAGACTGAGACTGATCTCCAACTTCTTCCTCCTTCCTTCCCTGCACCATGCTGCCTCTCATCCCAAAGCAAAGCTCAGCTTCTTCACTTATTATAGTCATATTTTTTTCCCTGGGAAGTTGGGGAAAAAATAGAATAGGAACTTCAACATCATGATGTTCCAAAAATGTAACAGTTTGACTCATAAGATCTCCAAAGCAGCTCATCTCCATAGTGTTTCATTGGCCTCCTGGCAGAGGAGCACCATCTCAGCGTCTGGGTGCTGGAGGTGGAGGTGGATCAGTGCAGCAGCTTGCTGGAGGCAGGACTGAAAACAGCCCCCAGCATCCTGCAAGAAGAATTCCGTCTACACTTGGATTTACAATCACGCTCATCGATGTCTCTTAATTAACCGGTGTTGAAATGCAATTATTCACGTCAGGAAAGTTGGGCTTTGAGGAAAAAACCTGTTGGTTGGATGGGAGAGAGGAGGGGAAGGACTGATGTGCTACGGAAATGCTTTCCAAGACAAAGGCTGTTTGCTTTTCCTCTTGGCTCAACCTGTTGGGGTTTCCAGGTGTCTCTGACCATCAACCAGGGAAAATCCATGAGAAACAGAGGTCCCACCAAGCCCGGTGTCCCTGCTGTGGTCTGCACGGCTGGCACAGGGATGTGCTTCCAGGGACGGGGACGTTGCCGGGATCCTGCCGCAGTGCCGGCTCCGCACAGCACACCCCGCTCTGCCAGGGCTAACGGGAACACGGAGCCATCAGCGATCCCGGGAGAGACCCAACAGCAGCGGTGACCAAAATACCAATGTGCCGAGACCGAGGGAAGCGTAAACACAGAAGTTTTCATTAAAAATTGAAATGCTTTTGAAAACATGTTGGGTTTGATGTGAGCAGCGAAGCGGGGCAGCAGCGGGTGGGAGCGAGGGCTCATTTCCAGCTCTGCACGCTCACAGTGACAGCTGGGATGGGGGAACAGCAGGACACAGGGAGATGATGGTGTCAATGCGGCAAGAGATCCCACCAGCCTGGCACAGCTGGGGCTGAGGTCTCGTGTCTTTGGCTGCCCTCTGCGCCCAGGCCAGGCCCACCAACGTGCCAGATCGGGTCACCAGAGCCAAAATGGGGCCTTTTCTCGGCACACCAGCTCCTGTCCTGCCCCTAAACACCAGAAGAGCACCATGCCCAAAGGAAGCCAAACCCACCTTCTCCCAGCCCAGTTGTTTCGGGTGTTCCTGAAGGAGCTTTCCCAAGAAGGGAGTAAGGATGCACATCCCAGCTGAGCCCTGGCAAAGGCCCCCACCACTCTAGATCCTGGGAATGGCAAAGGGGCAGCAAAGCTGCTGCCACGTGGCACTGGGACCTGCCGCTCACCACAGGCAGTTCCTGCCGTCATCTCCGCATCCTGAACCGTTTCTCCTACTATTCAGACTAAAATTGTTCTGTGTTTAAGCTTCAGAACCGTTTATCTCATTGAGTGAGGAGGATAATCCACCCACTTCTTCCTTGCTCCCTGGCAGGTATTTATAGGCAGCCACTCGTCTCCGTCGGCAGCTGCTGCTCCTCTTCCCAAACCTCCCAGCTCCATCACCAACATCACAGAGCAAATCCCGGGAAGACATAATCCCATATCCAGAGCCCAGCATCCTGCCAGGTACTGGGGCCAGCACTAACAAACCATTCCCACTCTGATGCCACTCTTAGAAGGAGATGCTTTGCCCTGCTCTGCATCCTGCTCCACATCCCACGCCACTGCACACCCAGCCCTGGGCACATCGGCTCTGCCGATAACTAATTGCAAACTCATTAAGAGCTCATTGAGAGGAGCAGAGGACGCCCGAGAGAGCTGCCCCAGGCTCCCCTAGAGGAGGTTGCTGGAGCAGCAGCTGCTTGGAAATTAAGAGGGAAAGGGGGAAAAAATCCCTCTGGTCGCATCAGAGACTGACAGAAAAACAACCCATTTATTGAGGGAGGTTAGAGGAAAAGGGTTTGGGCTGAGCCCTGTGCAGGGCTGGAAGCCTGGCCAGGGGATGGGACTTGCACCATGGGCTGCTCTGGAAAAAGGAACTGGGAAAACAAAGGGAAAACCTATGCAGGGCAGGGGCAGGGCCTTGGCAAGACCCCAATTTCTCTTTGAAGAGGGGAGAAATGAGAAACACGAAGCAGTGGGATGGGCACAGGCCCACACTGCTCTGTCCCTGCACTTGGTAGGTACTGGACAGAGCTTTGATTTCTCTCTTTGCCATCCCCAAATCCTTAGTTATTAGCAGGTAACACTGACTCCCCTCCAAGCCCAGCAGGCTGGAGGCCAAGGCACCCATCAGGAGGAAGCTGCCTCCCTTCACACCCTAACCAGCTCCCAAACCTCCCCTATTTTCCCCAAACTACCCACTGAGCCAGCAAAGTCATGTCCAGGGGGGGTTGGCCCTTTGCTGCTCCTGGTCCCCCTCCTCCCACACCACCCTGGTGCTGGGGTGTCCCCAGGGCAAGGGGCCAGTGGTGCTTTGGCCGTGCCCTGAGCAGAGCCACTGCCTCCCAGTGCCCCGCTCCACTTCCAGACCCCACTGTCTCTGTTCCTGCCTGACCCCGTTCCAGGGACATCCTCTCCTCTCCTCCGCACCGCTGGGACCCGCACAACAGATAACAGATATGAGCTGTGCTTCCTGGGGGCCGTGGCACGGTGGAGCCCAGGGAGGGCTTGCAAAGGCACCTTCGCCTAACGAGGACGTCTCTGCAGGCACGGGGGGGAGGACGAGCATCTCACAGGGGCTCGGAGCCACTGGTACCTGCCACGGCTGGGCAGCCTCCACCCCGGCCAGCCATTGCCTCCCACCCCGCCAAAAGCAGCAAAATGTGTAGGGAAAGAGTTCCTTCACCCATGTGCCATCTCAGGACCATCCAAAACCACTTGGGATAAGCTGAGTATGTCCAGGAAGTGGTCGGTCACACGTGGCTCAGGGACATCAGCCTGTGGCAGCAGTTTGGGAACAGCCCCTCAGCCAGCATCCCGCAGCCTGGGAGGAGCAGCCACCCCCAAAGAGGCCATGGATGGGGCACATTTACATGCTCTCTGGCTGGCTCTGCAGGGAAGTCATCACCAGCACCACTGGAACCACCCGAACTAGCACCAAACCTCCACCAAAGCACCTGCAGCAACTGGGACTTCCCAGTGACCCCAGTCTGGGACTGAATTGGCACTGAATTCCAAGGTATCCAACAATTCTCATACCAGCTCCTTGCCTAGACTAGAGCAGCCTTCTCAGCACCAGGATCGTCTTCAGCAAAGCCAATGAACGCCCAGCCACACGCAGGATCCCAGTTGGCAGGAGCTGCTCTCCCAGTGGGGATGTCCCAGCAGTGGGGCAGGGTCAGGCCCCCTCACACCCATCCATAGCGTCTCCTGCTGTGGGATACATCCCTCATCCTGACTATCAGCCTGTGACAAGATTCCTCAGCCTCTGGTCCCAGGATTCAGGTTCCGCAGGCAAATTTGTGAAGAGCAAACAAAGCACCAGAACTCTCTTCTCCGACAGCTCCTGGGGAGCCACCACTCTTCCTTCCTGCGGGTGTCCTCCGTGCCCTCTGCACTGCTCCCCCGGAGCTGCCAGCAGGATTTTCCCTGCCCTCATCCACACTGTGCTGTGCTGTCTCTGTCCATTGGCCCTGGTGACAGGACCTTGGCCACCTTTCAGTGCTTCGGCCTCCCCGGATTTCTGCTGCTCAGCGGGATGGTTTCGTTAGGACCTCAGCTCCTCTCCAGCCTCCAGCTGCTCCCGCCTTCACCGCCGGCACCGGGGATTTATGATTACTTCATTGTTTGATTGGTTTCATCAGCCTGTCATCATCTCCCTCCCAAAACTCTTCCACCAGCGCCAGCAGCACCGCACGGTTGGGATCTGCAAAGACAAATGCCCCGAACGGCACCTGCCCATTGCCTGCCCACCGGGTCCCCAGGGCAGGGCCAGCTGGCCCTCAGCCCTGCTCACTCCTGTGGGCAATGGGGGCACGTCACCCCACCACAAAAACCAGCGCTGACACCACCCAAGAGGCTGCACAGCCTGTACGTGCCCCACGCAGCCTGGGCATCCCCCCTGCCTCAGCCCCGGCTCCCACCGCTGGGAATGCTCCCGGGAAGGAGGGTGCTCCCACCGCCCCCGTGCCTCATCTCCTCCCACGGCATCCCGGGCAGGGCACGGGCACACCCCGCTCAGGGTCACTCTGAGCACCGGGCGGGTCGGGGGCTCGGCGTGTGGGCACCCAGCTCTGAGCTTCACCTCCCCGTGGGTGACACCTCGACACCGGCCTGGCACAGAGGGGTGCTGAGGCTGCACCACCCTGCCCCTGTCCCCGCTCCCCGTCCCTGAGATGTGGGGGGGCTCCCGGCTGGCGTCGCCTGCCCGCGGCCACAGCGGCAGCGGGGCCGGACCTGGAGGAAAGTGGGTCACACTCCCCCTTCCCCGCCGCAGCCGGGGAGAGGCTGGGATGGGATGGAATGGGATGGGATGGGATGGGATGGGATGGGATGGGATGGGATGGGATGGAGGCTGGGGGAACATGGGGGCACATTGTGGGGGGAAAGGGGGGACAGGGGAGGTGATGAGGGAACATAAGGGGACACGAGGGGACACAATGAAGGGACACGAGGGGACACAAGGCGAGATGACAAGAGGAGATGACATGGGGAGATGACAAGGGGACAAGAGAGGACAAAATAAGGAGACAATGAGGGGACAGGAGGGGAGATGATGAGGGGGCTTGAGGGGAGATGACAAGAGGACATGAGGGGACAACGAGTGGAGGTAAGAGGGAAGACAGGAAGCTGATGAGGGAACACAGGGGGAGATGAGGGAACATGGAAAACAAGGGGAGATGACATGGGGAGGTGATGAGGGGACACAAGGGTACACAATGAGAGGACACGATGGGAGGTGATGAGGGGACACGAGGGGACATGGCCTGAGCTGCCCCCGAGGCCGCCTCTCCCTGCTCTCCCCTTCCCCTGCTTCCAGCTGCCTTCCACCTCGGCGCATCCTTCCAGACGCCCCCAAATCCATTGGGAGCCCCCGGGGACCAGCCCCCCGGTCCCCCGGCCCCGGCTCCGCTCCGGTGTCGCTCAACGCCCCGCCGTCCCCGTCCCTCCTCCCCGTCCCCCCCGCGCCGTGCCGGGGCCGCCCGGAGCGCAGGTGCCATCGGCCGCAGGAGGGACCCGGGCCGGGGAGGGCGGCCGATCCCGGGGGGCAGCGCCCGCACCGCGCGGTGCCTCTCCCCGCTCCGCTCATCCCGGAGCCCCGGCTGTACCGGGATGAGGGGTTTGCCCCCTCCCAGCGCCGTGCGGGCAAACAAAGGGCGGCCTCGGTACCGGGCGGGCAGCGTCTCCCGCACCCCCGTAGCCGCACCCCCATCGCCCCAGCTCAGCCCCGCACCCCCAGCCCCGCACCGCCGCCTTACCGGAGGGACGAGCCGCCGCCGCGCCCCGTCCCCGGCGGGAGAGGAGCCGCCGCTGCCGCCCTCCGCTCGCCCCGCCGGGCTCCTCATGCCGCGGCCCCGCCGCCGCCGCCGCCGGAGGAGCGGAGCGGAGCGGAGCGGAGCCCCCCGCAGCCCCC